TGATACTGGTCCAGAGGTATTACACTAGTAGACCAATCATTATCACTAGTATATCCTATACAGTAACAAAAAGTGAAGAATAAGAAATACACAAATTAATTACAGTGAGTTACTATGGTAACCTTATTATTGATGGATTCTATATGTGACCTCAGTCAGTTTACAAAGTTAATCACACGAACATATTATTGTATACGAATACACTGATAACAATATTTCATTCACTCTAGCTCCTATTAATATCAGTGTTTCTGTATCTGCAGTCATTATATTTCACTATTGTACATAGCAGGAATGAATTGGTAATAATTAGTATCATAGGTAGACGTCAAATGCTCTCATTAAATATTCATCATATAAATTACTTAATTTATTGTAATAGTATCATTATTACACATTCAATACACATCGAATCTACTGCTATTCACATGTACTTACTGAGTTCAATAACTGCTGAATCTTTGTATGATGTCCTTCCTCCAAACTCAACTATCCAGTTTGTAGTTGGGGTTACACTCCACACTGAGAGAGAATGCCAGTGTCTGTCAGTAACATTGTCTGGTAGATTAATCTATAAAATTAAAATGATAATAACTGATTTGTCTATGACATATATACCTAGTTAATAAACACAATAACTAACTGACAGTTTTATAATCTGCACAGTGTGTTTTATGTAACACAAAGATGATATAATAAAATCAATAATACAAAATACCATATAGTGCTTTATTTTGGTGAAGCTTTATCTTGGTGATTGGTGGTTTGCAAGCAAAATCGTCAATATTAAAACCGCCAATCATTAATGCGCATGTTCAGTAATGCATGTGTACACAAAAATTGCCAAATTTAAAACTGCCAATTACAATTTTACAGCAAAATCACCAAAATAAAGCTCTGCCAAAATGAAGCACTATACAAAGGACAAGTATACACAACTGAGTGTGTTATTATATCATGTGAGTCCTCAATTAAGAACTTACTAAGTGTCTGCATGTACACACATACACATACATTGTACACATACTAATGACACACTAACACACATACATGTACATCTATACATGCATAGACGTAGAAAGGTACATGTAAAGCATGCATAATTGCTCACACACATACACATACATGTACATGTTTCATGTACACATGATGCATGTGTTAGTACACATATACACATATTAAATATGTACACATGAATACACACAAACACATGTATGTACATACATATTGTACACAATGTATTATAAACAGAATTTATTTTAATGTCAGCAATGACATTGTATCAATTGTGAATCCATTGTTATACACACAGAGACAGACACATGTATATTTACACATATTTAGGTAAAGAAACAAACACAAAACACAAAAAGACACAAACACATATTCACACTAAAAATAGACACACTCATACATACTGAATAGTGAATACCAGCATTATTCATAAGTAGTTTTCACTGAGTATCATAATAATGTTTATGTACATTACAAACCTCATGAGTTACAAATTTAGTTAATCACTTTATGTTTCATTATCAAGCATCATAATATAATACTTACCAGTTTTTTCCATTTTTTTTTGTTAATGTCCAGTAACCATACATCAGAGGCAGGTAACCCACCCACCACTAGTAAGTGTTGTCCTGAACTAGTGGTAATCAGTCCAGTGGAATGACCCCTTCTTCCCCCAGGCCATGGTACTGATCCTCCAGGATTAGGTACTTCTATTATATCCTTAAAAAATAATACAATCATACAATGTAATAAAATAATTCATTATACTGTAGACTGAGCTTAGATTGTTCATCAATAAGATTGTGTCTATACATTGTATTTAATTGACTTCAAGTTGCATGTACATATGTCAAGCCACTTGAATGATGTTTTGACAGAATATAGTCTAGACAGAATATAGTCTAGACAGAATACAATTCCTTCGATTGCCACTTAATTGGAAATCCACAATTTGTAATCAAAAGAATCTCACAATCAAAACCCATCCTACAGTATTAACTCACCACTGATGTCTTAGTGAAACTTATTGTATACAGTTTATTACTCAAGACTTCATCAGTAATGTCTCTAAAAATTTCAGTAATGCCTCCGAAAATTACCACAGTGTTATCAGTAACTGGTGTTAGAGTGAAATCATAAATAGGAGGTGGTCTGTCTCCAGTAACAACAGGAGATATCCATTGATCTAATAATAATGTACAAACACTCATGTACACATAGCACATACACACATACATTATGTCATACCTAAGCCAAACTTCAAAGACGCTGCAGTGCTGATAAATCATTTATATTGCCCTAGGGCATAATAAATCCCTTTGATGTTTGATATAAGCTTTGCTCATAATAGAACTTTGAAATAGACTTTGAAGTAGTAGAATTTGACAAGAAAAATATAATTTGAAATAGTACCATAAAATTTGAAATAGTATTCCTCTCATTTTAATCATCCCACCACTCTTTTAAATTATTTCTGGCCCATTTACTGCTTCTGGTCAAATTCTCTGTCATATTATGGACGCTCAATGATTTCAACTCTGCAAAAGTAGTTGTATAGCAAAATGGCCAAGATGGTGTTTTCTTTCGCGTCCTTCTTTCTGTTAAGTGACAAGTTAATCCTTCTCTTTTTCAGAGCATATTCATTGACATCACTATAGCCATCTCCTCCTTTAGTCCTTCGTATCCCGCATGGTACGTAGCATGTGGTAGCTTTTGCACATGTGCAGTATGTGAAGTTTGGCTTATAGGCAAGGACTTAAATTTGTTATAACACCGTTATAATATTTGTTATAATGTTATTCATTTCAGCATGCACCTCGCCCTTGGGCCCTCAGGCTTAGTGCAGATAAATGTGATATATCCCTCGCTGGGGTGTTATAACATAATATTTATACACGTTCATCATACATACATTTATGTATGTGTATATGTGTGTACATTATTATTTATACATACACATCATGCATAAATACACATCACTATTACATGATACACAGAAGTGTCATGCACACACACACACACACACAGATACAGTCATATAGGGATACACACACCATCACACACACCACACCTGCACACATGAAGGAGAGGTGAACGGGGGTCCTGAATAATTATACACAACTGATGGAACATTATAAGTGGGTAATTTGTGACTCATGTGTTACAGAACTTCATTAAAAATGATAATAAATAAGATGAACCTATACACACACACACTTATGTCACATTAGCTTATGCATAGATTGTACATACGGTATACAAATATCACACACACACACACACACAGATACATGATAATACTCACACACACATAATATGCACATTATTGATACAAGTCATATGCACACGTTATACATTCATAAATTCTCACATATATTATATGCACTATCATACACAGACATATCATAATTAGTACACACATGTCACATATAGACACACGTCACCATCACACACAAACACATGACACACAGAGACACACTAGCAAACACACTAATCTGTATTATGTACATTAATATAAATTATTCATTTTGAAACACTGATCAACTATTGTGTACCAATGATGAGAATTACAGACCTGATGAAATCCTGTAATAATGTATCTCATTACATCTCAAATTACCATAAGAATCTTCATACTGAGCATTAGGTTGCTTATGTGTAGAGGATGATCCCAGTCCTCCAATTAGTACAAGATAGTCTTCACCATCAAAATGAGCTGATGCCAATCCACTGTGGCTCTTCTTCATTGGACCATGATCAAAACTAGAAGGAGAGAGTTCCCTCCACTTGAATGAATCCACATTGAAAGAATGTAAGCTGTTTTCATAACCATCACCATATCCACCAAAATAATATATGTCCTTCCATATTGCAACAGATGAGTAGCCAAAGTTACCTGGTGGTGGGGTACCAGTAGTAGGTTTCTGGGCCCAAGCACCAGTTGGTAAGTGATACACCTCCATCACATCATAGTGTACTCCAGACCCAAACCCACCCCACATATATAGGTAGTCTCCTATCTTTATTGTGGAGTGTCCATATCTTTTCACTGGTTGATAGTCTATAGAGAACAAGAGGTACCAGTAACAAACAGAGTAACAGTAAATTGGTGATGAGTTAGAATAAGGACAGGATACAGAGGAGTAATGAAAGTGAGAGAATAAGAGATACAAAGAATGAATGAAAGAGATACAAAGAGTGAAAGAGAAGAGAATGGGGCCCTCACTTTTAGATGCCATTCTTGCAAAATACCAGCCCCACCCAAACTATCGATGCAACACAAGACCACACCCATTTAATGGGTGTGGTCTTGTGTTGCATCGATAGTTTGGGTGGGATCTAATCCAAAATTCATCATAAAAATGAAGTTCCACTGTAGAAAACCTCCTGCTGGTTCTACTAGACTCAAAGCAAATCCCAACTTCTTCAATTTTTCTAGTCAAAGTGATTGGGTAGGTAAAGAGGGGACTGTACCAGAATTCTTATTGAAGCAAGCTCGGCTCGGAAAACTGGCCCGCCTCACTGAACAGCCGGTCTGAACCTGCATGCCAAACAGGTAGGAGCTGGGCTGAGTGAGACCATGGTGAGACTTGTAACATGTTTTTAAAATTTACCTTAATGATTTTTTATTTTCATTTTTATGACGCATTAATAAACATGTTTATGTATGAAAGTTAGTGGGTGAATGTCTATAATTACAGGGGCATTAGTGTTATTCCTCCTAAACTGTGGAGACTCAATATTGATCCTCCTGATGGTAGTACTGCTTCATTTGATGTTGATGAGAGATGGTGGGACCAGGTCGAACTGACTAGACTGGATCTATCATCTAACGAAATCAAAGAAATATCTGAAGATATTGAAAACTTTGATTCATTATCAGTGCTTGAGGTGAGAATGAAAATATAAGATTCTTATTATCATTATAATACATGTTTACTGTACATATACATGTATGTA